CCGACGTAATAATTCTGCAGAACACAACGTAGCCCTTAGCAAATCCCAAACAATTGTGACTGGGCTTTTCTGGGCTTCACAGGCATAATCTCTGATCTTCAGCACAATGCTGCAAGGCAGGTATTGTAGTCCTTGTAACTCACTCACGCCAGGAAACTGAGGCTCCGGGGGGCAGGCATCTTGCCCGCAATGACTAAGCGGGGAAGCTGGAATCAAACACAATCCTGTTCCCCTCCAGAGCCGGTGCCCTTTCCACTATGGTCTGTTATAGGAAGGAGAGGATCACGTGATCCCAAATGCATCCCATTCGTCCTCTTGCCAAGTCAGAGCAAAAATAGCTCTGCCCCCTTTGTGGATGGTGAGCGCTCAGGAGAACGATGTGCCTCTGGGGAGCCAGGCCACGCCTCCATCAGCAGGCAGGGACCAGCTGCTCAAGGCAACTTCCACAAGGGGCCCGAGGCACAGCCAGACATCACCCTTTGGGTGCTTTGTTCCCTTTAATGAGACCCAGTTGTCTCTGCTTGCAGTCTTCTCCTTTGCCTGAAATTCCCTTTTCTTTGCCCTGTGACACGTTAAAGCATTACTCATCCTTCAGGGTCAGGCCAGTGATCCCGGTCACTCCCAAACTCACCCAGCCTCCCCCTGGCCAACTTCCTTCTGTCACACTTACCCCTCACACCACAGCCCCCTTCGGAGACAGGCCAACTTGGCAGATCTCACTCTGTTACTTCCTGGCTGGGCGGCTTGGGTAAATCTGATAACCTCTCTGAAAGCCTTCATTTTCTCCTCTGTGAATTAGGATTAACATGCTTACCTCACGGGCTCGCTGTGAGTGGCAAACTGAGTGAGCGAACATGTTTGTTGCACTTAGGGCTGTGCGCGGTACAAAGTGGGCATTTAGTTAACAGCATCTTTTAAGCTTGTTTCTCTTTCAGTCTACGTTTCATGCCTTCCTGATGAGATCGAGAGCTTTTGAGGGGCCAGGACCACGACTCATTTCAATGTGTGAATGCATAGCACAATTTTAGGCCTATAGAAAATATGTTTGCTGGTTCGTTAAGTGAGATATATAACACAACCTCAAAGAACAGCTTTGGCTGTTGAATTGCATCAAAAACTATGAAGCAGATCACCTCTGAGTCCTTACTCCCATTAACCCATTCATTCATTCACCATGGATTGATTGCCTCCCCATCAAGGCTCTGTTTCTCCCTAGGAGTTTCTTTAGCAGAGAGAGGACTCTAGGCTAATGATGGAAAGTGCCAGGAGGTTGCAGGGGACGTGAAAAGAGCAATGGGACGCTGAACACATGGACCCACAGACTTCAACCCCTCCTCTGCATCAGAAACAGCTGGGGTGGAAACAGATGCTCAGCTCCCACCTACCAGAAATGCTAATTCAATTGGTCTGGGGTGATATTAAAACAACAGCAATGAAAAAGGGAAAAAAGAAATTTGCCTGCTGATTGTTCAGATGTGTATCCAGGGATAAAAGCCACTGAAGCAGGTGATGCACACGTACTCCAGAGAACTTCCTTCCAGGGTGGTGGTACCCAGGCAATGCTAGGGGGAGGGTTGTGTGTGGGGCCAAAGCCAGGAGCAGAGCTCTGGATGGGAGGAAAGAGGCACCTGGGCAGAGGCCAATCCTACGTGGGCTCACATTCATCTCTTGCCTTCCTGCTCCCTGGGAGGAGCCAAAGAGAGAATCAAAGGGGGAGGGACCAGAGAGCACGGGAAGTCAGAGCTGAGGAAGCACATTTCCAGAATAAGTCTCACTCACCGTTGCCCGATTCAGACAGAGCTTGGAACCACAACCTGATGATCACATTGGGTCATCAGACCTCACAGATGTGGTCATTTTGTGAACAGTCTTCTAAACCTGCAAGATTGCTTCTTCTAAACCCATTTACTGCTCCTTCCATCCCCTCAGTCAAAGCTGGGCTGGTCCAGGTGAGTGGTTTCCTGGAGATCAGTTGATGTGAAGCACTAGCTGTTTGGAAGATTTGGGAGGACAGTTCCCTGATATGTTTCAGGCCAGTTTCACGATGAGTGTTCCTGGTGCATAATCACTCCTTGAGAGAATATCATTAAAGACTGCTTCAAGGGGCCCAGACCCTTGTCCTCCAGAGGCAGTGATGCTGAGAATCCCGGCAGCTTCTTCCCAGCATGTGAAGTCAGGGTGCTTGGTTTCCCTCCTGATCTCTTCTAAGTCCACAGACAGGAAAATAGAGTCAGAGGCACCAGGAAGTTGAGCATCACTACAGGGTTACTACTAAGCATGAGGTCATACCTCCCAGCTTTTTCTTAAGACACAGCTAGCTCGCATAGATTGGTGAGTTTTATGAGGCAGTGTCTAGGATTTGTATTTTTCAAAGAGAAAGAAACTGAGAATGACACCAGATCATGTTATTTCTCTTTCTGCCTCTACTTGTCTCTGTGTCTCTTAGTTGTTGTCTGCCATTTACTCCAGGAATTTGGAATAAATATGAGCTTCTAGGGGACTTACAATTCAAGGGGCCCTGCTGAAGATATGCTGCCTTGAAGAGGGGGGTGCTTTTCTGTGCATTTTGTTGGATGGATTTGGATTTTTTCTCCACGAGCCAAGTTAAACAGCTTCCACCAACTTCCCCACAGATGAGAACAGCTGGAGGGTTACTGAGAGGTTGTTGATGGAGGTAAGAAGAGTTTGTCTTTAGGGATCTCCCCACACGTAGCTGGAACCCTAAAAGCTGAATCGATCTCCAACTGCTGTATCACTGTTCTAATCGGTCAGGCCTGCGCCATATTGGTTGTCAAATATTTTTAATGTTCCTCCTCCCTCAAAGTGGTGGCGTTCTTCTTGCAGGTAGAGAACCCCCTCTCCCCACTTGCTGTGTAACTAATGACTGAACGTAGCCATTATTCTTCTTCTGCAGCCAGAGAACACCCCCTGCCCACAGTGGGGGTCCTTCTTGCATCTCTATTTCTATTGAATTGCGATGTTGTGGTCATAAGATAGGTCAACAGAGAAAAAGTTGTCCATTAAGTCAAGGACTGTCTCCAGGGAGGCTGGGGGAAGATGAGGACAGTGGACAGTATTGGCCAGTGGCTGTTATACAAAAGCACCAGGCAAGGCCATTTGGGTTGTGACCATTTGGTCATGATCATGACCAAGATAACCCTTGCTAACTCCAACAAAAAAAGCCAACATCTGGAAACCACGGGAAGACGAGAAGTTAGCTCTAACCCTTCAAATCCCCGAGTCCCTCCCTGACTGTCACATACCAAGGGAGGCTCATGAACCATCCAGTTACTAACTCGCATCACCTTGATTCACTGCCTCAGTGTGGAACCAGCTAGGCCAGTGCACTAAATCGGTGCCTAAAAAGATTCAATTGCCTTCTAAATATGCGAGTCATCCCAGAAACAGTTGCTATCACCAGGCTAAGTCAGCCAGCTCAGTACCCCACAAAAGCCTACTCCCTTTCAAGGAGGAATGAGTGGCTATGACTTCCCTACAGCAGACACAGCTCTTCCCAGAACCTACATGGCAAAGCATTTTCCAAAAGCCATTGAGTTGCAGAATTTAAAAAATGTATTTGATTGCCAGAGCTGCAAATTGGGTCAGTTTTCCAGGGCCTTCTGCTTCCTTCTTTTCCACTGGGGGAGAGGAAAAGGAGGCAGGCGGCAGCTGATGATTGAAACACAATCCTCCCTGGCCTGCAAGTCTTGGCTGTGTCTGTGTGTTATCTGGGCCAGGTCCCCTGGTGCTTCCTGATGGCTGCCCTCTGGATTCCACCAGCGGTCAGGGTGAAGCTCTCGCAGCCGCATGCCTGGAGCTCTGCATGGCTTTGAGTCACACCTGAGCCTCAGAAAAGTCTATGAGAGAATTAAAGGAGGTATAAGTATCCCCATTTCACAGATGGGGAAACTTGGACTCAGCGAAGATGAGTGACTGACTCAAGGATGCAATTAGTTTGTAGTAATCCTGGATCCTAACCCTTATCTTCTGTCTCTTAGTTGAGTGTTCTTCTCACAAAAACCCATGCACATGAAGAAATCAGCAAGGAAAAAAATCTGCACAAAGTAGTTTGTCCTGCTCCACAGACCCATGAGAGCTGGGGTTATTCCATGTGAAGTTCTCCTTTTCCAATCTAGCAGTCATCAATCTGGTCCCCAAACAACTTTGTTTTTATCACCCACGTTGTAAAGAGACAGCTATCAAAAATTAATACATAAGAGGAGATCTGTTATGATGTTACCATTCCATATTTTACACTCTGAAAAATTCTAGAATGCAACATGTCTTTATGACTAAGTCCGAAGTTTTTCATACTAATGGGTATTAGCTCATTAAGACGGGTCATGAAGTCAATTTAATGGGTTGCTACCAGAATTGAGAAAAAAATAACGGGGAATGATAGGACAGAATAGAATTGAAAATATCAGACAGTGTTACATGTAGCAAAGGTAAGTACTGTTCTCTGAATCCTTTTGTTCAGGTTATGGGTACAGATTCAGAATGTTTCTTTGCTTTTTTTTTTTTTAATTGAAGTACCATCAGTTACAATGTGTCAATTTCTGGTGTACAGCACAATGTCCCAGTCATGCATATACATACGGATATTGAATCACAATGTTAACAGTATTTCTTTCTGAGTATTCCTTCCCTTTTTCTAGCTCCCCCCTCCACTCCTTTTTCTCCTTTCTTTTTCCTTCTCTCTCTCACTCCTTCTCCACACCTATAGGAAAGGTACCCAAACATCTGCTACCTTGGTCGTGTTGTCAGGTACCATCCCCAGCCCTCCCCAGCCCCCTGCCTTCCTGATGTCATCAACCCCTCACCCCCAAGTGTAGAGCAGACTGTTCTCTGCAATCAGTACCTGTATGTTCTTTCCTTTCTCCCCTCCACTGAAAAAGACCCTTCCTGGTGTGACCTTTGAAACAGGGTCTGCTAGTTCTTTCTAGGTTTGATCAATAAATCGCTCGCTCTCTCTCTCAACCATCCTGTTTTCATTTCAGGCAAGGCAACTTAAACTTGAAGAAATGAAATCTCCAAGGAGAACCACCTTGTGCTTCATGATGATTGTGATGTACTCTTTCCAAGCTGCACTGAACTTGAATTTAGAGTCAGTTGTTTATCCTTCGGTGAGTAAACCCGTGTCTGCTCTGTTTTCCCCGTCACATTTTTTTTTATTTCCTGGGAATGTCACAGATGCAAATTGCTTTAAAAAAATTGTAGGGCCTTTGAGAAAATGTCACAAGTGGCGAGAGGGGGTGATGAATATAAATAGGAAAGGTATCTACTAGCCTACAACTTGCCTTACTCTGAAATCAGTGGTGGTACCAGGGGACACCCCAAGCTTCCCTCCTTAATTAAATTGCCACTTCGAGGCCTGAAGCTCCACCCTGTGATACTAACAACCGTGACTACAAAGCAGAGTTCAAGCACTGAGCAGGACCTATGTTCTCAAAGGATTCATTTTACCTAGAGCATCAGACTAGAGCACATTTCACAAGGTGTTAATTTGTGTCTGTGTTCTAATCACAGACTGATATTGTTGAAGGGGTCACAGATAACATCTAAGCTTTTGGCTGACAACTTAGCCAGGTCGTTTTGTCTTTGGGAAGTTCGTGGGAGTTTAGCTTAACTCAAGAGGGTGGTAAGTATCCCCTTGTTCCTTCTGAGAATCAGTGGGTTCTCCATTCCTTTAAGCTACTCCATGCACCGGAGACAGAGTGGGTTACTGGTTATGAAATCTTATGAGACTGAAGTGAGGCTCTCTGTGTCTCAGGTTTTTTCATCTGTAAGAGGATGAAAATCATAGTATTGCTTTACTGATTGCTGTGAGAATTAAATCAGTCAATATTTATAAGATGCCTTAGAACAGTGCCTGGCACATTTTTTTTTAAAAAAAAAAGCTTTCTCAGTGTCTGCGATCATTATTTCTCCTACTGTAACAGTACTTTTCTCTACTGATTTTCAAAAAAAGATTTGAATACTACTTTATTCACTCTGTCACAATTGTTAGCCCTTTATTGGCAGATTTTCGCTTTACAAAATGTCTCTTTTTGTCCTTTTTTCAATTTCAATTCTTTGTCTTCTATTCTATTGTCAGCCCTGTTTTTATATTTGTCTTTGCCTGATCTTTATTTTTTGTTCAGCTTTTAATATACCCCTTTGCCTTACTGGTTCTCTTATAAACCATGCAGGTTTTTAATCCGACTGTGATTGGGGTATATAGTTTATTCACATTTGCTGTCATATTTAAAACGCTTGAGCGACCTTCAGGATTTTGTTTTATGACTTTCTGCACTTCCTTGCTCTTTTCTGTTTCTGTGTCTTTCTGTGTTTGACCCAGAAACACAGGTTTTGTCTTTTTCTTTATTTCTTTCACACTTGTGTGTCTTCTTCCAAACTCCAGTATGAAAGATACAGCCCGTGAAACCATATGCAGCAACTTGCTCTTATAAATAGACTAGGGAAAAATTACTTTTCCCGTGGACTGCACGGTCAGTGCGGAGCTCCACTTACCGCCAGTGCGTGGGGGGAGAGCCAGAACACAAGGTGATCTGAGCCGTGGGGCCAGCCTTACCTGTGTTCCAGATTTTCCCAGGTTTCCTGGCGGCAACAGTGAGCCAGGTGAGCCCTCATTGCAGTGGCCCCGAGCAAAGCCCCTCCATCTTCCTGGTGGCACAGGCTGGTCAGGAGATAAGCATTCCAAGGCTGCTGGGAAAACTTGAACTCATCTTCCTGGAAGTTCCACCAACCCCGTCAAAGGGCCCCACTTCCCCCTCCTCCACCCAGGTCTGCCGTCAAGATAGACCTTCATCCAGCCCAGAGGCTGAAACCCCCATTGGAGAGGTGCCCTTGAACTTGCCTTACCAGCTTATAAGCCCTGCGCTGCCACTCAGCTTCCACTTCTGCCACTTTAAAAGCAACAGGTGGTACTGAGCTTTTGGAAAAAAAATTGGGCATAAATGCACATAAAATTTACCATCTTTTTAAGTGTATGCTTCAGTAGTCTTAAATCTGTTCACATTGTCCTGCAGCCAGCTGCAAAACCACCTTGCAAAACTGAAACTCTGTACCCACCAAACACCACCTCCCCAGCCCCCACCCCCAACTCCTGGAACTCACCATGCTACTGTCTGCCTCTGTGGTCTTGACTACTCTCAGTACCTCGTCTGACTGGAATCGTACAGTGTTTGTCTTTCCGTGGCTTCTTCCACTTAGCAGACTGTCCTAAAAATGTATCTATGCTGTAGTATGCATCAGAATTTCCTTCCTTTCTTGAGTCTGAATAATGATCCATTGTATGCATATCTCACATTTTGTTTATCCATTTATCCATCAATGGGCCCTTGGGTTGCCTTCACCTCTTGGCTGTTGTGAGTAGTGCTGCTGTGGACATGGGGGTGCAAATACAGGGTGACAGGCTTTTGAAGTGTGACGATGATGTAGTGTCCTAAACCTCAGTGTGCACATGAATCCAGCTGGGAACCTTCTTAAAGTGCAGATTTCAACTCAGGAAGTCTGGGGTGGGGCCCTGGATGCTGCCTTTCTGACAAGCTGCCCTTGCTCCGGCCCCAGGGACCAAACTTGGGGCAGAAAGGCTGCAGGCTCTCTGTGTTGGAGTTAGCCCCAAGTGCAAAGCCTGGTTCTTACACTAGCTAGCTTTGGAAATTTAGTCACGTTTCTTCATCTCCCCGAACCTGTCTCCTCTACATCCTAAGAAAACATATTGTCTCTCCTTCATTGACTTGTTGTGAAGATTAAAGAGTCTCATATATGCATCACAGTGCTAAGGCACAGAGCAGGTGCATAAGATTTGGTGGTCATTTTTGCTATTCTGGTACAAATAAACCTGTGCTGGCATGCCTATTCGAGGGGACATTCTAACAGGACCCTTGCTGAGACAATCACCTCACTGGAGGAAAAGATGTGAGGGGATTCCCAATCAAGAAAGAGACAGATGACTGACAGGGCCCCGGTGGGGAGGGGTGAGATCTAGCGACAACTTGTTTGTCATCCGGTTCCCTGGGGGTTTTCTTTTCACACATGAAATGCCACCTCTGGTTCCTGACCGGTTGTCTAGCCCCAGTTCAGGCCACCGCCCCCATCACCACCACCACTGTGACTATTTGTAATGTCGTCATGTCCAGCAGGTGGGGCATTTCCTGGAATTAGTGACCTTGTGTCTTCTGGCTGGAGCTCGGCCGACAGGAAATCCCTTCTGGACAGAGCCGACCATTGTCCTCCGATACCCATCTGGGTACCTCCACATGGACAAGCAGAGGGAGCCCCAACCGAAGCTCTGGTTTTGGGGTGGTTTTTTCATTCTTTTTTTTGGGGGGGCAGTAATTCTATTTTTTTAAAATTTTTTTTTTAATGGAGGTACTGGGGATTGAACCCAGGACCTCGTGCTTGCTAACACTCTGCTATTGAGCTACACCCTCCCACCCACTGAGGCTCTGGTTTTTGTCTGAAGGAAATACTCAGCATTGGGAAACCCTGACAGGATCTGTGCTCAGCCTTGTAGTTCCCTGAATTGGGGTGACATAAGACTCAGGAGGGCAAGGCTGTCCCCCAGTGAGACCCAGAACAGCTGGGCACACAGCACTGCCGGAGGTGACATGAGCATCTGGTGAGCCTCAGCATGGTATTTTTCATAATGTAAGAAACTAGCAGAAGGGCAATGCTCGGTGGTAGAGGGTCCCTAGCAAGCACAAGGTCCTGGGTTCAATCCCCAGTACCTCCATTGAAACATAAAAATAAATGTATAAATGACTAAATAAAAATTAACCTAATTACCTACCCCTTCCAAAAAAGAAAAAGGAAAAAGAACTCATTACAAAGAAAAAGAAGAGACTGAGAATGAGTGGATGACTTCTCCAACTAGGAAGAAGAGGACATGGCAGGATTCAGTTCTCGGTGTGACTCCCGCACGTGCCTTATTGATATCCAGGCCCCGTGACTTGGCAGCCCAGCTCTTTGTACCTTCTCGAATCTGGGAGGTCAGGGGTCTTCACCACTGCCAGCACCCCCAGCGAAAAGTCAGAGGCTTTTTACTTTCAGTATGTTTTTCCTCCATTTCCCCCAATGATGACAGGGATTAAAATTAAAAGTCAGTCATTCTCATAAAAAGTTGTGAATCCTCACTAAACAACAGAGCCGGGAGGTGACAGACTTAGGGAAATAGCGCTTTGCACAGGTGTCCTGTGAAAGTTTTAGATAATCACCACGCAAATTCAAGAAATAATTAAAAAGTGGTGCTTCTCAAAAGGTGGCCTCAGGTCCAGGGATGTGCCGGTTGAAAAAGCGGTTTTCCTCACCCCACCCCAGACCTGCTAAATCAGGTTGGGGGAGGGGAGGGAAGTGATCCTTACAGTCACAGAGATTTGAAATGCTCTGCTCGCAAGAACTGAAATGTACCTTAATTTTAACCCACAACTGCCAGCAGCAAGTCTTCAATTCTTTAACACCTCCACCCTCATCAACTGGAAAATGGGAGAAGTGAAATCTCGGCCTGGGAGAGCTTCCCAAAGGTGACCACCAGCAGACACCTCCTCCTGGGCTGAGTCCCCAGTAATGGCCCATGAAGAGGGGACAGAGAAAGCTTCCTGGTGGCTCCCCCTCCCCACCCCTGGGCCCCTGGGGGGATGGAGGCAGGAATGCAGAGAAAGAACCTTTCCTTCTGCCTGGGCACAGAGCCAGAACTTCCTCCAGCAGAAGCCGGGCAGGAACCAGCCCTACACGTTGACTTTTTGTTATTTAATGGTTCCTGCCCCTTCTAGGAGAGCTCACTGCACAGGAAGCAGCACCTGGGCTCTTGAAATCCCAATTACCAACCTTCATTCCTCTGTTCATTTCTTAGAGAATGTGTATGATCTCTCAGGTCCACAGTCCCTCCACAATTCCTATGGGTATTAACATCAGTCGTTGAAAAGAAGAAGATGGAGGGGTCAATTGAGTAAGACAGAGAAGAGATGCTGGTTAGGAGAGACTGGGTCACTGAGGCAAACCCACCGTTTCCCAGGGTATCTCCTGATAAGACGGTGCAGTGCCTGTGTGGATAAGTGCAGACTTTGGAGGCAGGCTAGCTAGGTTTGAGTCCCAACTCTGCCATTTAAAGGCTGTGTGACCTTAGGCAAGTTATTTGACCTCTCTGCACCTGTTTTCTCATCCATGAAATGTGGCTAATAACAGTATCCACATCTTAGATGGTCATGAGGATTAAATAAATAAGCACATATGAAGTAGGTAACAGTGCCTGGCACGGGGTGTTGAAGACGTCTTAGGAATTCTTACTTTTGTTAGCATTATGAGGTGCAATAAGTAGGGGAAAACTGGTAGAATTTTTCACAGAGGGCAGAACAGGCTGTGTCTCGGGTGGCTTTCATTGGTGCATGGGGTTAATGGTAAAGCACACACACCCTGGAGGGCAGGGGTTTTCTGGCTCTTCTATTGAGCCTTAAGGAAGTTTGGACTGGGAAACGCATCATGGGGAAACTGCCTTGGAGGTAGGGACGAGCTAGGAACCCAGGGTCGGGTCAAGGTGGGGTTATAAGCTACGGAGCTGGCAGTGACCCCAGCAGCAAAGCCAACCGATGTCAGTTCTTAAACAAAGAAGCCACGTGATGACAGGAGATGAGCTCTACAGAGATGAAGCAAGTGGTATCCAGAGGGGACCCTGTGAATGGTGTCCCCAGAGCAGTGCGATGCCCTGTCCCAGAATAGCACTTTTTAGATCACTAAAACTTGTCTAATGTTTTACATTTGTTAATCATTTGATCCTCACAACAACCTCATGAGGCAAGCAATTTTTGTCCCTGTACTATAGGTGAGTACGGAGGCACAGAGGGGTTAATTAACTTGCCCAAAGTCACACAGTCATTTTATGGCAGAGCTAGGATTTGTATTCAGTATCTGCAGAGTCTTTACTCTTAACCCACAAATTTTCTGATCTAACTAATGTTTATTAAGAGTTTACTATGTTCCACATTGAAGTTTGATTAATTCTCAGAACAATTCTACAAGGTCAGTCCTATTATTATTCCAGTTTGCAAAAAAGGAAACTGAGGCTCAGAGAGGCTAAGTAACTTCCTCCAGGTCGCACAGCTAGTAAGGGGCACCACTTGATACTCAGGCAGACTGATCCTAGAGCTTCCTGTCACAGTCCCCACCTTAGAAAGTAATCATAGAACCCTCCAGGAGGAAAAGGACCAGAGGAGGAGAAAATAATTTCTATGCATGCGCAATCTAAATAGCCCTAATGCTGCAGAAATATTGGGGCGGGAACAGGCTGTGTGCGGAGGAGAGGTCATGAGACTTGTTTAGAAGGTCACTGGAGTGACTCAGAGTTCAAGTCTTAGTACAGTGGAGAACACCATAATTTATACTCTTGACGCTTCAAGCTGCAGGAACTCTGAGAAACTCAGATAGGCAGCTTTCTTCCGCTCCTGGATCTAGAGACTGGTCTACAGAAAGTCGATGCCAAGATCACACCACAGAGGCAGCTCCCTTTGATTTTCCCTACCCTTCAATGGCTGTTGGCCTGCCAACCGCAGGGCGCAAGGTGCCAACCCAGAATCCGCAGTCCTACACTTAGCTCAAACATTCAGGGGCATGTGACCAGAAAGCCATCGTGAAAAGACATCTCTGACACTCACTGAGGATTTTTTTTAAATGTTCTTTCAGCTTCTCCGTGGACATGGCCTAGCAGGGGAGGACCCAGTAAGGCAAAAACGAACTGGTATGTAACTCTTGGCTTAGCCACCTCTTCTAGTAAGTCCCATCAAATGACATCTGCTGTAATTTTTTTGAAACGCTGTGACCCACATAATTCAATCTTCCAGCACATCAGGGTTCAATTTCTAGAAGTAACTGCCAAGGAACCCCATGCTCTATTCTTTCAAAGGACATGAAGCGGGTTTTATCAACACATCCAATCTCCGTGTCCTCTCCCATCACCGCTCCTCAGATCCAGAAGATTTCCCCGTGGCTCTTCCCACAGCTGCCCTCCACTGCCGCCCAAAAGCCTGCTTCTCCACTCTCCACCCAGCAGGCTCGCCTTTTGCCCTTTTAAAACTTTTAATCTCACCTCCTCTCACTCAGCACTTTATCCCTGGATCAACTTAACCACTAGATTGAAGTCCTCCTCTGCCTCCCACTCCAGTTATCCTACTAAATTCCAAAGAGGTGGTCCAGAAAATCCAGGGCTCTCCAAAAGAGTTGGGGACAGGTGGGGGCTGTGAACACCACAGCGTCCCCTCCCATGTGCAGGACCCTGGACAAGGGCAGGTGGGTATGTCTATAGGCTGCATCTTCCAAGGACCAGATCCTTCTCCTTCCACCACAGCAACCTTGCAAAAGCATCAGTCTGATTCTGCATGAAATCCTTCAAGGATTGCCTTGGAGACAAAATCCAATCATCCGCTCGCGTCTTACTGGATCCAACGTACTTTGCCTGTTTGCTTTCCTTCTGTTGCCTTTCACAGGGTCGCTACCCCACCCACCAGCCCCCTTTGCTTGTCTGGGGGACTCAGTTCACACGGGCTTCTGCCCTGTCATGCCTTCCATCAATTCCCCAGACAGGGAGGGGTTCCCACTACCCTTGATACGTTCCCATAGCACAATATTTGTCCCAAGGCATTGGAATTATTTTGCTTCCTCTTTGCCACTCCCAGGAGACATGAGCTCCCTTGAACCCTCTTCCTCCCGGCAGCCTGGCATGTAGCCCAGTGTCTCAACAGCTGAGGGAACAAATAAAGAGAATGCTTGTCTCTGTCCTAGCTGCCCTTCGGTCAGCTCAGAGGGTATGCTCCTTTTCGATAAGCACCTGCTGGCTCAGTGGCTATACCAACTGTCTTAACCTGTATCCTTGGGACTGAATCATTTTCCAGGCATGTTGTGACTTGGTCTATTCCATCTCATAGTCTGAAAGAGACATTAGGCTGCTTGACAGAGGAGGTTTCCCCCTTGGGCAGGACAGAGAGGTATCTGGTAGACCTCTTTACAGGGCCATAACCAGATCTGACTGTTGCCTGGTGCTTGAAATGAGAATTCAACCATGTTTTTTTTACTCTGAAGTATAGTTGATTTACAATGTTGTGTTAGTTTCCGATATACCACATAGTGATTCAGTTATATATAATCTTCTTCATTATAGGTTATTGCAAGATATTGGATGTAGCTGCCTGTGCTGTACAGTAGGATCTTGTTGTTTATCTATTTTACACATAGTAGTTTGTATCTGCTAACCCCAAACTCCTAGCATATCTCTCCCTCTTCCTCTTTGGTAACTGTGGTTTGTTCTCTATTTGACCACATTTTGTCAAGCTCAAGAAATGCTCACTGGAAGCTCTTACCGTTGGTCATTTCCCCTTCCCTTCCCTTCCTTTCCTTTCTACTTCAGCCGTGCCTTACATCCCTGTGGGATCCTCACTCTCCCTCCTCCCCTCCTTCCCTCAGGTAGCATCACCTCTACCCCGTCCTGACACCCCCTTCCGCCCTCCTGCCCCTGTGACAGGAGCAAGGCCAGCAATGTGCCCATTCGGTACTTTCAAAACCTTTTGTTCCTAAAATCACACCGTCTGTGGTGAGTTCCAGCTCCAGGCTTCTGCCAGCTTCTTCTCGGGCTCAGGCTGCCAGCTTCCCCAGGGCCACTTGGTGACCTGACAGCTGTAAAAGTAACGTCTTCCTGCACTTCCGGGCCGGGCTGTTTGTGAGCCAGGTGGCCCATGCGAGAGCTTAGCCCCTGGAGAGGAAACCACCTCTACATCTAAGGATTTGACATTCCAAAACTTTTCCAGATGCACTTTCAGTAAAAAACAATCATGACAATGATAAAAGACCATGAAAACATTTTCCATTTTTTTATACGTGGTCTTTTGTGCTGTGGAGTCATTTTGGAAGTGTGCGTGACTCAAGCCATCACCTGCAGAAGATCCTCCTGGCCTTGGTACTTTTACAAAATCCCTGAAATCGTCATGGAAAGGCCCGAGTGCTCGACTGCAGATACTCAGAATATAAATTGTAGTTCAGAGCATCGCTGTCCAGGGAAACTAGGACAGCAGGCAATAGGAGGCTTCCATTCAGCAGATCCCACACAGCAGTGCCTGTGTCCTGGAGCCTTAATGCCAGAAAGGGGCAAACCAAGGTCCCAAGAGAAAGAGAATGCTCAAAAGGAATTTCTTTTTTTTTTATTGATTTATAATCATTTTACAATGTTGTGTCAAATTCCAGTGTTCAGCACAATTTTTCAGTCATTCATGGACATATACACACTCATTGTCACATTTTTTTCTCTGTGATTTATCATAACATTTTGTGTATATTTCCCTGTGCTATACAGTGTAATCTTGTTTATCTATTTATTTCTTTTTGAGGCACTGGACCAAATCTTTAGATCTTCAGGGCTTGGGGTAGAATCATCTTTAAAGGCAGGCTCAGTGCTCATATTTATTCTCCGAGCTATGGGTGTTTTCCTACATCACATACAGATGTGTCACAAACACACACACATATACACATACATACAAGTACACAAGTATATCTATTATTACCGTCCAGAGTTGTTGAAAGGATTAAATAATATTATGTACATGTTTTTAAAACATGAATAGGGTTATCTGAGGGGGGGGTTGTTTGTTTTGATGGGTTTTTAATTAAAAACAAATCTAATTGATTTATTTACAAAATTACTGCATTTGAAACAGCCTGAAAGGTCCCTGGTACAGAGAAGTCTTCATGTAACTGCTGATGGTAGGAGGAGGGGTGCCACGATATTAGCATTTTAGGAAAACTATTTCAAAACTCTGTGGGCGGGGGAAGAGGAGCCTGTATGCAAACCTGAGAATGAGGGTGAGTCGGCTCGTTAGAGCAGAGTGGGTGTCGGGGGGCAGAGGGAAATAAGCAAGGGTCAGAGCATCTGGAATTCGGTCCTGAGTCCCCCAGGAAGGGGGCTTTAGACCAGCCGAGAGGCTGGCAGGGAGAAGATGCTGATGGAAACCATGGGAAGTGAAAACTAGCCAGGTGGTTATTGCGGAAGGAATTATACGAAATTCGTGCAGGGAGACCAGCAAGGATGCTCAGCAGTGTGGACCGTCATCGGCCCTGGCTCCGGGGAGGATATAGGAAAGGAACAGAGAGAAGGCTGGTGAAAGACATGTGGAGAAGCAGGTCCAAAGGACTTAGCAGCAGATTCGACATGGGGTGATGGGGAGTGAGGATCCCTGCGACACTCCAGGGTGCACAGACCTGGATGACTGGGGAGAGGGAGGTCACAGGCAGAAAGCGGAGCTGGACTGGAAATCGTATTGCGGAGGTATGCCAGTCAGCTCAAAACTGAGTCTTCCAGGTGGTCTTCCTAGGGAACCGAAAGCAGAAGTTTCATATCGGTTGGAAGAAGCACAAATATGTCCTCTACGTCAATTATGAAGCTCCCCAATGCCAGATTTCTGAGCTTAGCTGGGACCACGTCTTGGGCCCTGGGCTGGAGTTCCCATTGGTTCTTCTATGGCTTCAAAAGGAATGGCTGATGGGAGACAACACTTCAAGACAAGGAGACCGAGGATGTCCCAACCCTGGGCTCAAGGTGTTTCCATCCTCACGCCTCTTTAGTGAGAGCAAAGTTCCTACCAGACTGGGTTGCTGGCTGCCAGCTTGGAAATCCTGACCCTCTGCAGACCTGCAGCCAGGTGTGCTGGCCTCTTTTGGTCTGGGTTCGGGAAATGCCTTGCATTTTCCAGGTGGAGGAGCAGAATTGGGGATTTTACTGGCTTTAATCTTTCTCATAACTTGCGGCATTTGGCGCTCTGAGCGGGCAGTGGTGGTGGCAGAGCAAGACGGGAAAGCTGGGTGCTCTCTGCCTGTGTTGTTTGTTTAACTGTCTCAAAAGTGAGACCTCGTTGGAATAGAATTAGGTTTTTTTGACCTACCAGCAGACAGCTGCCTAGATTACAACCCTTACACTTGCTATAACCAATACTATTATTTCTACCTGCTGTTTCAGAATGGCTAATAGGGGCCAGGCAACTTGCTAGGGGTTGTCATACAGTAGCCCAATTCGTCAACAGTTCTGCAGAGAAAATTGTGCCCTTAATTTACAGATGAGCGAAGCATGGCTCACAGGGGTTCATGGCCTCCCAGGTGAGAGGCCCCAGCTCTCTGTGGCTCCAAGTCCAAGCTCATAGTTACAGGTCATAGTTTTCAACGTGGGTTTCTGTTGCCTGTGAGGTTTCATCCCATGATTTTTTTTTTTAAGCAAAGAAGTGTTTCCAACATTTATTGAGTGTATATATAATTAAGCACCTCTTGGGTCCAAAGAAGGTAAAACTTGGTGACCACCTGCTATAAACTTTTAATCTGGTCATCAGGATAGGATGTATATGCACCATAAGTTAAATTCAAAGTTCATAATATCAAAAGCAGAGTCATGCCTTACGGTGAGCCTGCAAAAGGCAAAGCTACCACCAAGAAAGTCGTAGAAGTAACAGAGACATAGGTCTGGGCCTAAATGTAAGTTTCTAACAGAACTGACCAAAGATGGGTCGGACCATCTTATATAGATGTGAGTTTCTTGTCACACAATGTATTTGAGCCAATCTGAATAAGCACTTAGCAGATGTGTTTGTAGGGCATCGTCGCGTCTGATGAGTGGTTACCCTAGGAGATCTGTAAAATGTT